GTGTCTTGCCATAATGACACTCCGTTGAATTCCTCCAGGAATTCCAACCATATGGAGAGATCGGCCCTCACCTCCCCAGACAAGCGCACTCGATGGTGCGGGGCCCTCAATCCCACAGTGAGGCGAGCCAGGCGTGAACAGAAAGGGCGCCCAGGCGCCACCACCCTGCACGCGAAGTTCAAGTGCCCCAACAATGACTGAATTTGTTGAAGGGATATTTTTTTTAAAGGGAGCAGTTCCTCTATGACCTTCCTCAAGGCTACTAGTTTATCCATTGGCAAACTAGAAGTCTGAGCAACCGTATCCAACAGGATACCCAAATACGTAAGCTGAGTTGATGGACCCTCAGTCTTTTCTGCTGCGAGCGGAACCCCCAGCTCCTGCGTAAGGTCAGCAAAGGCTTGCAGCAACACCAAGCAATCACCAGTGTCAGGAGCCGAGGCCAATAAAAAATCATCGAGATAATGAGTGACCCCGCCCAGCCCTGTTTTGGATTTGAGGGCCCACTCCAAAAATGTGCTAAATGATTCGAAAGCAGCACACGCTACCGAACAGCCCATTGGCATGGCCTTATCAAAATAGAACTTACCCTCAAATTTGAAACCCAGTAACCAAAAATCATCCGGATGAATCGGAAGAAGGCGGAATGCCGATTCAATATCACATTTCGCCAATAGGGCAGCGCGGCCAAACTTCCGAATCATCTTGATCGCCTGATCAAGAGATGCGTATCTTACGGAGCAGAGCTCCGGTGGGATAACATCATTAACTGAGGTACCCCTGGGATGTGACAAATTATGAATTAAACGAAATTCACCTGGGGCTTTCTTTGGCACGATACCCAATGGGGATACGTGCAAATTATGAAAGGGGGGGTCATCAAAAGGACCAGCCATCCGATGCATGGCCACCTCTTTTGCAATCTTCTTACGGGCGACCTCAGGTAACTCACGAACTGATTTTTGGTTAGAAGGACACCGAGCCACAGGGGGCCCTGGCTACTGGAATCCGAAAACCAACTGAAAAACCATTACTCAAATAAACTGCAGCGTCCCTATTAGGATAGGACTGCAACCAAAGTTGCAGAGCCGGCAATTGAACTGGGGTTCGCGCCAAGGACGTCAAAACCTCATTTCCCTGAGCCTGATGCAGAAGGGAGAGAGGTGTTTTGCTTGGGGGGTTGCTGAGCGCCCCCTTCTCCACTGAAAGGGCCGCCGTTCCCAAACAAGAGGAGCGGCAGGAATCGAACCAGTGGCATTTCCACTAATGTGTGCAGAACTCTAACACCCTTGGCGTGAACAGAACTATTACAACGTCCCAGCATGTAAACGCGGCTGGACTAAACGCGCAGGCCCTTCGGCTTCTGTTGCTCAGGCGCCTGTCTTATCAATGAGATGGAGCTACATGGGTGGTCCACACATCGAGATCCTACAGATCCCATCTAGAGCCTTGGGGACCTAGCGGCTGCGGCGCCTGAAGTTCTCATC